CTCTTTGAAAACATTGATTCTGGCTTAACTGTCCTCTTCTCAAGTCAACTAATTTGAATCAGTTCGATCATAATATGGATGTTGTGTGGCTAAGCTTAAAAGTTACATAATGTTAGGGTAACAAGGGTTACGCTTTCTTAACATCAGCAACTCCACAATTGAAGACTTTAACGATTGACACCTCTTCAAATAGGAAAGACAGCTCCAATGACGATGATTACACCTAAGGATCAATTCTAGGAATCCTTCTGTACATACCTTAATTGCTTTAAGCTTTGTGTGTAAAGTTTCTTTCTGTATAGATGTAATGTGCTTATAAATAATAACATTTATTTTCACTTTATAAGTAAAATAAGTTATCTAATTCAAAATTCCGAAATGAAACGTATATCCCCTAATATTAGCTACAGGTTAATTTTTAGGACCGAAAATGATGTCGCAAATGAATTTTGAAATGGATATTTGCTATGACTTTTGAGAAATATAGCCCCTAGTTTAGTTAAAATCACCTTTTTTTGTAAATTTTGAATTTTTTTTTTTTTGAAGAAACGTGCGATTGAAAAATTGATAAAATTGTGATCTCACGAAATGTGAGTAAAAATAATGAGCGTAAAGAAAAAATAAATTTGAAAAAATGAAGGCCAAACAATGACATAATTTTCCCTTGTTGAGATGTTTTCTTGTACTGGCCACGACAGCTGGGCGCAAAGCTAATTAATTAGGTAGATCTAAATCGTTAAGAAGCTAAGAAAAAGTGACAAATAAATGACAATTATATTGAATAATGCACATGACATGCCGTGAAAATAACTCCATTTTATAGATTATAAATCTGAAAGAAAGATCTTCTGAATCATAAATTCCGATCTTTTACATCTGAAAAACAAATTGAAGTTCAACCTGACATTGACCTCATGTGATTTCAATCATTCTTAATTTTTTATTGGGCAATTAGTATAAAAGGTCCTTACCTTTCAATGTTACTGTAAAAAAGGTTTATATATTTCATTTTTTGACATTTTCACCTTTACCTTTCACCTTTCTTTATGCAAAAGATTATTTTCATCCATTTTTCAATAAAATGACAATTTTACCCTCCTATTCGAATAAAACAAAAGAAAAAAAGATGAATTAACAATTGCAGCCATAATCCTTAACTTTTTGAAAAATTACAAAGTAATCATAAATTTTCCACCACCACCACTTTCACAATCTACCAAGCTGTCACCTATAGATCCATATAACACCATCTTTCGGCCATCATGCCCATCGGACTCCACCACTACCAACCTCGCCTCACTCCCCACCGTCCTTCTACACACGAATTTGAAAGATTGGAGCACTTTGGACCCACCAATTTTGGTCAAACAGCTCTCGACGTGCATCGCCCCTGTAGAGTTTTGGACTAGAAATTGAAATAGTTGAGGGGTTAATTTGTTCCATTAAATTCATACACATTGTCGTTTGGATTTGTTGATAGTTCGATTGATGCCAATTTGGAGATTTTGTGTTGTAGGATGCATGAATTGAAAGAGAAGAGTTTGGCAAAATGGATGTCGCTACTGCCGAATGTTTTTGAATTACAACAAAACTATTTGAGACAGTTTTGATTGATGTGAAGCAATGTATAGGTTCGTCGAGATGAGGGGTAACTGTCGAGGGAGTGCGTGATCGTGGGATTGCCGTAAATATGACAATTTGATATTTGGGCTGTAAATGTGATTGTTTCGGACAGATTGATGACCAATATTGTGGAGGAAGATGTTGGGGAGAGTGAGGCGAGGCTGGTGGTGGTGGAGTCCGACGGGTGTTGTGGCCGGAAGGTGGTGTTATGTGGATCTATAGGTGGCGCTTGGTGGGGTTGTGAAAGTGGTGGTAGTGAAAAATTTAGGACTTATTTGTAATGTTTTAAAAAATTTAGGACTATGATTACAATTAGTTATTTATTTTTCTTTTCTTTTCTCGTTGTTGTATTTGAATAGAAAGGTAAAAATGTCATTTTATTAAAAAAAAATGGATGTAAAGGACCTTTTGTGCAATGAAAGGTGAAAGGTAGGGGTGAAAATGTCAAAAAATAAAAGGTAGGGATGTTTTGCACGTTAACATTGAAATGCAGGGACTTTTTCTACTAATTACCCTTTTTTATTATCTTGATTTTTGTTAATTATTGCCGTGCATATTAAACAACAACAACAACAACAACAATAATAATAATAGATTAATAAACAATATAATCCAACTTGATTGATAATTTGTACATTTGTGTGTCATACGTGAAGATGCATTATTCGCTCTGTATACATGTAGTACAAATGAATTATTTAGCAAATGAACCTTATTTTCCGATCAAAGGTAAAATTCTTTCTTATTTTTGAAGGATAATATTTATTCACATACGAGCCTAAAATGTTCTAATAAGCTAAGGGAGTGAAAAAAAAAAAAAAATTCAAAACGATATATAGCTATTGCCAAACTCTACTCATAAATAGTACAAACAAATTATTTAGTAAATGAACATTCTTTCTCAATCAAGGGTAAAATTCTTTCTTTTTTTCGAAGGACAATATTTATACATGTTCAAGCCTAGAATGTTCTAATCAACTAAGGGTGGAAAAAAAATTCAAAACGATGTATAGTTATTGCCAAACCCTACTCATTTTACCTTATCTTCAAAACCTAATCTTGTATAATTTGTCCATGTTTCATGTACTTAGGAAGGTTTTCTTACTTGAAGGCTCAATAGGGAAGCCAGGTGGCCAACTTTCCCTAACTATTTGATTTTGTTGTGAAAATATAGATCGAAGGTATCCTAAGACAACTTGAACAAGTCATACCAACTACCATACACTGTTTGTCATTAAATCTAATAAAGACAATTGAAAGATCAAAAAAGAAAAAAAAAATGATAAATGTCTGATTTATTAAATTATAATCAACACACACACACACAAATAAAAATGACAAATCTCTGATTTATTAAAATAATCGACACAGATATATATATTTTTTAATTAGTATTTTTAACAGAGATTTAGAAATAGTCGTTCCCAATGTGCTAAAGTTCGAGACCAAAAATCAAACACCACATAGAACCAGTTAGGCATCATTATTGATTTTATTTAATTAAACATCTGTATAGAATCAGTACTTTCTATTAAAAGATGTTTTGATGAATAAATATTAATAATTAGTGCATATTATGACATTTCATTACCGACAACACATTAAACAGTGTAAGTTCTGCACGTAGAAATGAATTATAAGATAAAGATCATACTAGAAAAGTGAATTTTGAGTCTTTACATTTGTTGTGCATAAATTCGAATTAAATCACATAAATCTTTTTTTAAGATTCGTGTTATACCTATAGCAACAAGATGCTAGTTAGTAATTAACGAGATTTATTCACGCTATAACTTGTGAACTGTAAAAATCTTCGTGCTTCTTGATTGATATTAATAATAAAGTTAATTGATATTAAGCAAAATGTACACAAAATTTATCAAATAATTAAAAATATAATTGAACCTAGAGTAGATATATACAATATATACTAGAAACAAGTCTCATATATAGATAGTTTATTTAGGACATTCTAGTGTTGTTACATGGTCTTTTCTTTTGTTTTGACAGCCCAGGATTATCTCTATCTCCGCACATAATAATATTTTAATTGGCAAATTAATAATTGTAGCTTCACTATTTAAAATATGATTACACAGTTATTTAAACTATGCATAGTCGCGGAATCTTGTCAATATAACACAGAGTTTGCCAGACATCACGTGTTTGATTTGGGGCCTTTTTTTTTTTTTTTAAATCATACAGATCATGCATGCAAACTAGTCAACAATGGCATACTTGTACCAATCAAGCTACACATTTAGGCTTAAATTCAGATGAGACACATATCGATGTATGATTGAGCAGTTTGAAAAATTAAAACAAAAACATCCAATTATTTTCTGACACAATAGTTTATCTATTCACTCCCTATTTTTCAATTTGGCCAAGTGGTTTTATTTTACTGTATGGTCTCTAAAATGTATTTTGAATAGGTTTTAAATCGATTTTTTTTCGTTCCTCGAATGTATGTAATTTAGGTTGATGAGTAACTTTTAAAATAAATAAACGCACCTTTCTCTCTCTCTCATATTACATGCATTACAACTTCAATTAAAAAGCAAATGAAACCTAAAATAGATATCTCCTCTAATAACTAAAATTTTGAACCATTTAATTTATTCTTATTCAAGTGACATAAGCTAATAATATAACATGGGCTTGCGTGCTTAGAATAGCACAAAGAGGCCCCCAAAGTTGGCTGATAAACAACCAAATATCTCTGAACCCACTTGAATCTCAAACCCCAGTTTGGCAGTTTGGGGAACATATAGAGAATGACACTATGGGCACACTCACCCCCACCCCCTCTCTCCTATCCCTATGCATTATTAAAGACGTTTGAACTAAAAGTTTATATTATTAAATAGAATTATATAAAAATTTATGATGTGAGATAGAATTATATTTATTCCCTTTAAATATTGTCATCAACACGTTCTCTCACGTGTATGAGATTTTTTTCTCATTAAAACCTAATATGTGGACAATTCATTTAAACGCGTGATGACAAAACTTGAACTCATAATATTTATTTGCTTTGAAACCATGTTGAACCTCTTGAATTAAAAGTTTAAGTCTCTGTTTGATTGTCATTATTTGGTAAAAACAATGTTTTGAATAATGATTTTTAGGAGAATGTATAGTTAAAAAGTTAGGAAAAGTTTTAGGTTTATGTACTTAATATTTTATTGTGTTAATGTCTTGTTGAAAATAAGTATGCAGAAAAAGAATTTTCAAATAATTATAGTCAAGAGCTAACTGTTTGATAGGATTATACGTATCATTAAATGTTGTATGTATACATGTATGTATGCTCTCTCTCTCTCTCTCTCTCTCTCTCTCTCTTCATGTGTGTATTTAAAAACAATACCATGGCCTTTTGCTTTCTCCCAAGCACTTGTCTTCATCACCTCCAACACTTGTTCATTAGTGTTAAATTTCATTTTACCTGCCCTTCATGCCTTCCTTATCTCTCTGTCCATAACTTGTCTCAAATAGTTACCTTTCTTTCCTAATTTAAATCCCACTTTATCCCCTGCATTCCACTTTCTTTCATAGACAATCAAAGTCTTAAGTTTTCCGGGAAAAAAAAATAAAAAATTCTTAGCTTTCATCATCCTATTTCTCCTATCTTGTTCATTCTACATTTACTTTCTGACAATGTCTAGCAGGAGATCTCAGTCGAGGCAGTCAGGAGTTTCCAGGATAACTGAAGATCAGATCGCCGATCTTGTGTCCAAATTGCAACAACTTATTCCTGAGGTCCGCAATAGGCATTCAGAAAAGGTTGATTAAAATTTTTGTTCTTTTCTTTATAATATACGTCTGTGTGCAAGCGAGCGCATATCGTAGGGACCAAAAAAATTACGTCACTTACTTTATTTCTTTAGTCAGAAATAGTATATACGAGCATGTCCATGGATCATGAACTCATTTAATTGAAAATTTGAGTTGTGGGACTATGAATTCCCTGTAAACATTTCTCTGCATGGCATACCTACAGTTTATAACAGAGAGGGTTTCAAATAGAGAGGTTTGCATAGCACAAGACAAGAGGCTGCATAGCAGAGGATAATACTAAGAATGAAAAATAAGCTAAAATATTCTTCATTATATTGCATATGAAACATACATTTAAACAAAGAGTGGGAGTGTGTATGAAATTTATCTCTATCCTGATCTAACTAGTCATGTCTAACAATGTCAGGTTTCAGCCTCAAAGGTGTTGCAAGAGACATGTAACTACATTAAGAACTTACACAGAGAAGTGGATGACCTGAGCGATCGATTATCGCAGCTTTTGGAATCGACAGACAGTGACAGTGCTCAAGCAGCCATAATTAGGAGCTTACTAATGTGAACTTAGAGCTTTGATGCTTGTACTTTCTGGGTTGTTAATGTCTAGGGTTTGGTTACTACATTATATAGCCCACCTTAGGAGTTTAACTAGTTTAAGCTCCATTGTCTCCTCTGTGTATTAATATTACGTCATAGACTTGCCTTTGCTAAGTCAAATATAAGAATATAATAAAAGGGATTGAAGATATATTATCTATTTTCAGTTCCAAACTTATGATATGCCTACTTTGGAATAGTTTCTGATTGTATTGATCCTGATAGGTCCCTACTTGCATATATGCTGCTGACATCCCCCTTCCCCCCAACCCACTCACTCTGTGTTATATATATATATTGAGAATTAGTAACCCTAATTCTATATCACCAAAAATAATAAAGTTGCACAGAGAAAATAATTACACAAAAGAATATGAAAAATTTATAGAAGTTTACTTTAATGTGAGGCTACATCCTCTTCCCCCGCTGTAGTATTTTCATTATTACAAAAGAAATTTACAAGAAATTGCACACCCTATTTTTCCTAATCTCTCTTTTTTAGAATAATTTAAAATCCTAATAACAGTTTTGTACATTAATAATAATTAAATTCGACAATTTAATAATATTAACACGCTCATACCAAATATACTATTAAATAAAATAGTTTAATATGAAATCATAACAGACATAGAAGCCCTGTTTGACTTGTGTTCTTTTAAAAAAATACAAGTTTAAACAATAATACACTTCATTTTAACCACATATTCTTCAATAAAATAAAATTACATGCAAATCTACAACTTTTTCTTATTTTTTAATCACACATTTTTCATAAATACACTATTCAAAAATACTTTCTTATGAAAAAATTTAGTTCAAATAAGGGCAGAATGTAAGTTCAAGTGTCCCCACTACTTACTTACCTATATGGACATATGAAAGCTATTAATACATGCATGCACCCTTTAATGTCCAGTGTCCCTTGTCCTAAATTTTTAATGGAAGAGAATTGAAAATATAAAATGTTCTATGCAGCATCAATATTACTCGTACACAATCAACCTTGATTCGATGCACTAACGTGTGACTGGGGCATCAAATTTTCTTGTAAGTAAAAACTGAGTGTATCTATCTTCAGCTCTATTTTTTTCCTTTTTTTATGTAAATTATGGTTTTGACTGTAATAACTTGACGCCTACCTTATTTTGTCGAATCATAATAGCCCTAAATAATGGAAGGGTTTGCATTGAAACTTACATGTTAAAAGAATTGAAAAAGCTTTATGGATTGATGAATATGAAGATGAGGAAGGCAAGCTGGATTTTGGCAAGAATTCATCTGCAAGATAATGCCTTCCTATGGAAAAAGAAATAAAGGACAGCAATTAGAAAACGAAAAAAAGAAAAAGAAAAAGAAAAAGAAAGAAAGAAAGAAATTCTGATGGGCATGAAGCGGTGCAAAGTCCAAAGCAGTTCGTGACAAGGGTAGAACCGTGAGTACAGAAAATGTGAAGGGCGAATGGGTCCTTAAAGGAAAAAGGTAGTAGGCACATTGCCTAGATCCCAACCCCAATTTTGGGAGTGAATTACCCAAATGATCATTGAACTTTGCAAAAAGATTTTACGGGGTTATTAAACTTTAAAAATTACCAAATTCATCATTGAATTTTGCAAAAGGTTTTCACGAGGTCACTGAACTTTAAAAATCACCAAATTCATCACTGAACTTTACAAAAGGTTTCTACGAAGTTATTAAACCTTGCAAAAAGTTTTCCAGAGGTCACTAAATTTAGTAACCCCCTGAGAAACCTTTTACAAAGTTCAGTGATGAATTGAGTGATTTTTAAAGTTCAGTGACCTCATAGAAATATTTTGCAAAGTTTAGTAATGAATTGGATGATTTCAAAGTTCAGTGACCCCGTGAAAACTTTTTACAAAATTCAGTGATCATTTGGGTAATTCCCAATTTTGGATAGCTAACACTTGAGAGAATTTGGAGGTAGAAAGCTGTGACAAAAAAATGGAAGCACATTGTTGGAATTGATAGGTTATGTTGATGGCTCAACTAGCATCAGTTTAAGTGGCAATAGGATCCAATGTTTCATTATTCAATAAATTAAAGACTATTTATTATAAGCACTAGGGGTGCTACATATCATTATTTCATTAATTGATTGGGAGGCTAGCATTATAAATGACTTCACAGGACTCTATAATGTGAATTTGTTGAAGTGTTTGAATTTGAAATGGCATAGCAGTATTTTCGCATTGTTGTACCTCCTCATATTGCATTGGGATCGCCAAACTTTGAGTTTCAATCAAAGATGCAATTTTTTTATTTTTTTTCCAACATGACTGCCAGGAGATTGATTCAACTTTGCATCCAACATTCTTTTGCACCAAAATTTCTTGTGCACGAAGACTTAAGATTTGAAAGACTATATAAAAATAAAAATGATGTCTGTGGTCTTTGTTGAAACAGAGCTGGTGGACAGTGGTTGATCCAAAATTTTGAGTGAGCACGGACAGTTGTTGGTCTTTAATTGTCGGCCATAATAAAATATTAAAAATTAAGTATAATAATTATTTTACTAAAACTAAACATATATAATTTTGGTATAGATATTGACAATATTCATCAAATAACATAGTGGCCAAGTTTTGTATAATTCAAAGGAAGAGCATAGATTCAAATCCTAAAACTACTAAAATGGAATGTGTATATTATTCTATTACATTTAGTGTCAAAATTAAACAGATGCCATGATGATTAAGCTTTCAATTATCTTAAAGAGGGGTTGTAGGTTTGAATCCCCTCCATCAGTTTCGGTAAAAATTGTAGAAATATAGAAATTGCAAAATAAATTGGTTTGGAAGGATTTCGAATGCTGAACCTCCAATTTGTACAAGGAAGTTCTAACCAAATGAGCTACAAGAGATGCAAGCGTATAACCTAAAACTATTATCTACTAAAAAAGTAATAATAATAATAATAATTCTCGACAGATCCAACATGTGCGGCCTCCAAGAACAAATAATTTTTTTAATATTTAAATAGAATAATATATGTATATTTAAATGGACAGTCAAAAAAATAGAATTAAAAATAAAACATCTATCACTACCCGAGAGATTAGGCTAGTATAATATTGTGCTTGTTTCATTTTCAGATACAAAATTAGTGATCAAACTAATCAAAATTATTTTTCCCAACATAGTTCTTTTGATAGAATTCATAGCTATTCCATATGTATTTGTGTGTGAGAATATATATAATTAAGCCCCTATTTTATTGAGATTAAAATCTATATTTTAATTTTAAGTTAAAAGTCAATAATTAATTTAATCGTATATTTCATGAGATCAACAATTTTTAAATAATGAATTTTAATTTTTATCAAAATCTACTAAAAATCCAATTTTAATTCTCACCAAATGCGAGGTAAATTTTTATCAGTACTTTTCTTCGTTGATCAAGCTTCTAGAAACTGTTCGAAGGTTATGAAAATCTAAATAAACTAATATATTATATTCTAATAACATGATCTTTAGATGTATAGTAGAAGAACACATCATCAAAGACAAAAGTTCTATGTGCGGCACTTAAAGGGATCACCTAACACAGGCTGACCAACGTCTATTTAGAAGACATCCAGGAAATAGACCAATTTCACCTATTTTGAACAGTGTCTATTATATAAAATTAAATCTTTTCTAACTTGTTCACTTATGGCTCTGATACCATATAAGACCCAGGGGAATAGGAGATGAGATAGAAGAACAGAAATTTATGAAAATAGATTATTTTATTGAAAATGAAAGAAGAATTACAAAATTCTTGAAAATGAAAATAATTGAGAGAATAAATTACAAAGAGAATTAAACTTCTTATTCGCTCTGAATTCACTCTGCTTTGAAATGAAATCTTGAGCTCTTCTTATAATGAAGTTCGGATATGAAATTTCTTTCATTTGAGAGAAAGAATCTTGAAAAGAAGAGTGGAGGACATCATAATGAAGAATCTTGAAAAGTAGTGCCCTCTTTTGACAAAAGTTTCCAACTTTTGACTTCCTTTAATAAAGTAATCTTTTCTTTATTAAAGTAGTGATTGATACTGTCGGCAAACTTGAGTGGAATCTTGACAAAATTTGCACCACAATTTTTTGATTGGACAGAGATTGAGGAGAATTTCTCTTGATCTATAGACCGTTGAATTTCTCAAATCGTCAAGAAAGCTGGGTCCATGTAGTCATTTGTTTGAGGCTTTTCTTGCGGCTTTTTCTTGAGCAAGAAACTCTGCATAGTCATCACCTAGATCAACTAAGTTATCACCATTATCAGTTTCTTGAGAAAATTGAGATTCATCTTGTTCATCATCTGATTTATTTGATTTTGAAGATCCTTGTTTAGAAATTTGTTCATAAATTTCTAAGAACTCCTTAGGATCTTTACATTTTGATAATATTGCAATGATTCTTTATTTTTCAGTCAAAAAATCAGCTCGACTTTCTAGTTCCTTTTTTTGAGAATTTAGGTACACCTAAATTTCTTTGTTCTTGAATCCATGATTGAACTGCTTTGGGGCAATAGTTTGTTTCTTTGAATTTTAACCACCATCTGATCTTGAAACGTCTGGTGATCTTTTGAGCAGAGTAATCATCTTGGAAATTTTGATATTGAAAGAAATCCCAGCAAAAGATCCAGGAAACTTTCATATTGAATGCGAACTGAAACAAAAGATTTTCTTGAAACTTTAGAAAAGGTTTTGCTTCATTTTTGAAGTATTCAAATCCTTGAAGAGGAAGACCAGGCAAAATTTGCTCTTCAAGTCCATGGTACAAGAATCATGTTTGAAACCAACTTGGAAGATGAGGATTAAAATTTTGATTAAAAAGAATGAACCAAGAATGAGTAATAGGTCTAAAAAGAAGAACCTTATACCAAGTATTCTGGTAATCAAAATAATTGAAAGTTTCTTGAGTTGTGAAAAACGTTTTTGAGAGACGAAGTCTCTTTTCTTCCCAAGGATTCTGTCCCCAGTCTTCATAAAACAGAACTCTTGTGATACTGATTTTTGAAAACATGATTTTTGATTTGTCTTTTGGTTCAGGAGTATGAGAAATTATGGCTGATCCAGTCAAAAGAAGGATATTCTCATAATATTCTCGGATTTTTTGAATGTTGGAAGGCATGAACCAAAAGTTTTGAGGGAGGATACTTGAAAGACATTCATCGAGGCCA